GTAAAAACAATTACAGCAATAGAAGTCTTTGAGAGTGACATATATTTAAAACTACATAATTGTTACTTTTACATGGCAGTATATTAGACTGGGCGCGTAGAGTAGTAAAACGACTTCTAACTAATTGACTAAGTATTGCTAGATAATAACACTACTTACCAACTAATCCAAGAGTGTCCTTTATAGCGAATCTTCTCACCCTTAAGTTAGGCAACTGAGCCAAACGCACACGAGCTCGTGACCCTCTCTTCATGAGCTCAGAAGATGGCTTTGCAGTTAACCGACTGGTAAAAAATATTATTACATATATTTGTAATAAAACTATTTTCTCGGATTCAGTTTTAAATGCTTTTCAGCAATCATAGTGATAGGACACAAACGTCGGTAACCCAATATCCATATAAATCCAATAAAAAAATATTTTGTTTTATTTAAAATGGCAAATATTAGCGTAACTCTTAATAGGTATATTTGTAATTTTAATGTATATAAGTGAACTAATTATAATTATTCATACGATAAGATGAGTATCAATAGGCCAGGATAGGGATTGTTGGCGCTCTTTGGAATAGCCCTTCGACCAGCTGATGACGATGTTTTCTAAGTAATATGTATGAAATTTTAAGAGCTAAAGTTCTAGACAACCCTTGGGAGCTAATACTTCCATTTTAATATTTAAATGTAGAATGAGCTACATATACAGGAGGATGTCAACCTAATGTGGTTTGTGCGTAGCTTTCTTTATTTTACTAGAGTCAGTGGCTTTGTTCCAGTACGTAGAAAATTTCTATATCGGGTATATGGATGCTTATTTCCATTGACTGAGCAGAAGCAACACCTATTTTCCTAAAAAGATCTTCTAAAACTATTAATAAAACATTTTAAAGAGACTAAAGAAAGAAAGATTCTTAAAAATTATGTTACATTAACATATTTTTATTACTTTAGTAGTAGTGGGTGCGTCTCAGCAATGCATTACCCACGTTTTGTTATACAAGAATTATTATTAGATTAAGGAGTATATTTGTATCCATTTTTGTTATAACGAATTAAAGGAAATGAAATTTATAATCTATGGTTATATTAAAATATTAAATTTCCACTTTAAATAGATTGTCTCTTAATATCTACGATAAGACGCAGTTTTCTTAGAATCAAAGGAAAATGAAGAAAGATTGGATTTCCTAGGACTTAGAGTAAGTAATCAGATTCTGCCTCAATTAGTGGGTACGCGGTTTTGTGGAAGAAAAATCTTTTTATAAAGTATTATTGCTTGTGTTTGACAAGTAGTTTAATTTTTCGTATTATTTTTAGTCAATTGGCTTATATACGAGTATATTTGTTAACTATCATAATTTATTAATTTTCATCAATATAATATTTATTACTTATTCAGAGTTCCTTTTAATGGCAGTAATAATAAAAAATGTTGATATGAATTGCTAGTGATTGATCTCAACAGTCAAACCGTTCTATAAATATTTGCATATATGTAATATATTTTTTATATAAGATTCTCAAAACAGACAGACAGAATGTACGTACGAGTATTTTTCATTTACTTCAGATATTGGGCGATCTGAACTACATATATAAAAAAAACTTATTGGAACTTGAAATATGAACCTAAATAGACATTGTAATACACAAAAATATTTTGTTACTTTTTAATGAAGTTTAGATTAATATTACATTAAAAACGTTGATAGAAGAAAATATTATTATACGTACTTGAAAAACACATGGGCTACTTTATACTGTGTGTCATCACAGGCCATTGGACACGTACATTCATATTTGATAAATTCATCTGGGAAAAGTAGAAAGAAGAAAGTAAAAAATTTTCCCATACTAAATTCCTAATTGAATTAAGAACACCTAAGCAAAATTCCCAACAATATACTTAGTATTTTTCGTAGGCCTTATCCAATCAAAGCTAGTACTTTTACAGATTACGACGAAAATACGGTCAGTTTATTTTATTTTTGTTAACAAAAAGGAGGTACTCAATTCTTATATATATAGAGGTTATACGTATATGTGTTTTGTATATCCATATCTTCTCCAGTTCTGAACCGAATTCCAAGATTATTCTTTAATAAATAGATGCAAATTTGGTTGTGGATACAAATTCTTTAACTTTTAAAGGGATATTTAAAATGTGTTACATGCAAGAGTTTCCATATTTTTAAACCAAATTTTACGCTTGTGTTACAATATTAATTGTAGTTTTGTCTGAAGAGTAAAATCTAAAAGAACCCAGAATAGACACCAATTTTATTCGTTATTCCTAGTTAAAAATGTAAAAAACCCCCTACGAAATGCACGTGAAACATTTAATCGAGTAATCATACGCCAAAATGCCTTACATCATTTTGGAAAAGAGCTGATACTCTTACCAAAACCAAACATAGCTAAGAACCACTGCATGGAAACTGGCTTTCAAATGAAAAAAACCGCATCGAAATCGGTCTATCCGTTTGAGAACTACGATGCCACAGACAGACAGACAGACACACACAGACACACAGACAGACAGACAGACATGGACGTCAAACTTATAACACCCCTCTTTTTGCGTCGGGGGTTAAAAACGAAACTAGTTGAAAATCAACACAAATATCTGAGTCATCAAACAAAAATACTGTTGAAATCAGAACCTCTTATGTACCGCTCAAATATATATAATCTTCGATCAACAGTAGTATTGTTGATCGAAGATTATAATAACAGAGATAAAAAGAAATAATGTTAGTGGAAAGCTATTACTGACCTCTATTTTGGTACAAACAGGTCAGCCCTTTAATATCACAAGCTGGCATTTTAACTGTGGAAAAAACATTGTTATTTTTATATATATATATATATATATATATATATATATATATATATATATATATATAAATATTGCAATTAATTACTTAAATATAAGATAATCAAAAAATTGTATATAGAAATCAACATTTTATTTCATTTACATATATTTTTAAAGACAGTGTTACTAAAATTACCACATATTTATATGTAGGTATATTTATTAAAAGATATTTTTATATTTTAACGTTTTCTCAATATATATTTCTTTATTTAAAGCTAAATATTACTTCTTTTTAATTTTTATATTAGATTGAGTTTTTTTTTTATTAAAATATATATTATCTATATAGCTTTATTTAATTTGAAAGGATAATCTCACTCAGATCGATCGCCTACCTTCAAGGTGTTAAACTGTTCAGTGGAGCCCGATTAATGAAATTTACGCGCGTGTGTAGACAGAAATACATCAATAGGTATGTATATATCTTATATCTTCAATAGCTATGTGTATAATATAAAGGCGAAATAAATTATTCATTCATTAGTCACAAATCTAGAAAGCTACTTGGCCTATGAAACTCAAATTTAGCTTTAGTTTATTATCTAAATGATGTAAATCTAAAAGATATCGAAAGTTTATATAAACTTTAATATTCACTTTCATTTGAAAGCTTAGCTTAGCTTTGTGCTTTTAAAAAACTTATATTTATTATTTGAGACTAACAACGCCTAATAACTAAACTATAACATAACTAAATAACTTGTGTGTTACTCCAGGTCATACTCTATGTATGTACTAAGCATAATCCAAATCAGTCCAGCCGTTTCTGTGTGAAGTAGTAGCAAACATACACATATACAAACTTCCGCAATCATAGTACTAATCTGATCACAATATATCTATATATAGTCCAGGCATATTAGAGGATTCAGGATTCAGAATTGGAGATAGTCAGCTATAAACTTGTGTAAACCTTTATTTTGACACTCTAAAACTTGTCTCAAAACCTACTTAACGTAGGATATATTATAGATCCCCCCCAACGTGCGTTCACCTTGTCGTGGTGGGGGGGCTCAGTAGTAGTAGCGAAGCTAAGAAACGCACAGGGAGGTAGCCCACTTCGGTGGGCGGTGGGAGGTGGCCCTCTTCGGGGGGCGGTGTACCTTGCGGGTTGCTCCTGGTACTTCTCTGATAGCAGAGTGGACCTTGGAGCAACCCCAAGGTTGTGGTGGTCTGCCTCGGCAGACCTGCCGTCGGGGCGTCGTAGTTGAATGCGTAAGCGATCCTGCGACGCCCCATTAAGACGGGGGAAGGTTTTGTTGGGTTTTAGTGGGTAGTACTGGCTGTATTACGCCGGTGAGTCCCACACGTCGTGCGTAAATGCATTTCCCAACGTTAAAAAAAAAAAAAGGATATATTATAGATAAGTAGGTTTTAGGGTGTCAAATTAAAGGTTTATACAAGTTTATAGCTGACAATCTCCAATTCCGAGATACTTACTATATTTTGACTAATATGACTGGACTAATAATATTTTTTTATATAGCGATCCTTTCGTTAACGTTTCCCAATAACGTGTCGTTAAAAAGGTTGTGTCAACTGAAGGGATAAAAAGGTGGATTTTTCCACGCACTTACCCTTTGGAAATGGGATCGAAATGTATGCCTTTTCCGCCTAGTTTCTTCTAACGACAGGTACCTTTGTAGTTTTAGTCGTATTCTTTTATGATTATTTACAAATGAACTAAGTTTGATTTTGTGTTTCAAGTTAATCTATTGAAAGTTTTCCACCATAATTTTTTATGGTTTAATATATCTAGCCATAATGTTAGTCAAATTATCGATTTATACATTGATTATTAAATTCAAGCAATATTATCCTACTATGGTGTGTGAAACAACATATATACTATATGGGATATTCCTTCCGTCACAAATTTTAGAAAATTATTCGATACGGCTAACTGAAACGCTAGTATTCATTTCTACTAAAGTAATAAAACTATATGTATTTTAGCTATTTTTACTAATTAAAAAAAGAGTTTTAGAATTAATACTATTCATAGTCATTTATTTCAAGATAAAAAAAAATATGTCATATATATTTCTCTATATATGTATGTTGCTGCATTTAACCTCTATGAAAATTGATTCTGCGACCTGCACCAAAGAAGTCAATGTCAACCAAACACACATACCAGCCTTGTCTTAATATTCTTACCAATGTTAGCCATAAAGTGGTGAGAGCAGTTACAAAATGTTTTCTGAGCTAAAGCTCTGCAGTACAATAAGCAGGCACTGTACGTATAGTGCTTAAACGGCCAATCGGGAAATGATGGGCGATCATTTTTGAACAGACAGCCTCTCATAGTTTTCGACAATGATGATACGGATACATCGTTCACTGTTTGTTCTGCCTAAAAAAATTAAATGTGGATTTTCACTTTTAGTCTTATATATTCTATTTAGTTTGGTTTTGGGACCTAAGGGTTAAGAGGATAATAGTATTAATTCTCAAGTAAGCTCTTAAATTATTTATTGAAGCTTGCGGTCTTTGTTCTCTCTCCCTCTCTTTTTCTCACTCTGTTTTTCTCAATTACTTCAATAATTATCTTTTAGTTTGATTTTATATGTTTATTATTCAATTTATTATATTTGGCGCGCCTATCGAATAAACTTTTATTCAAAAGGAGCTAGCTTATACCAAAAATAGCCTACTTATGAAAGATTTGATATGATGATGGCTTACTGAAATGAAATTCAGATTTAGACAAATTTTACCATTTTACGATAGTACAAAATAAATAAAGTTACCTTCAAAATTGCTTCAAATTCAGTAATCAAAGGTAAGGAGCCAAACCGCCCGAGTATATTTTCCAAGGCGACGGAAACGATATCATCAGGTGAATGAACTCGTATCTGTAATAACAAACAAAGATCAAAGATATAAAACAAATATAAATTATTTAGCAATATAAGTAGAACTTAGCTAAATAGGAATTATCTAGCAATATGAGTTACCTAATATTATAATTAAATTATTTAAATGTAGGAACGATCAAGTAGTTATCACAAGATTGCGTATTTGGTCTCTCTAATATAGTACATACTCACTTAATATGTGAGAGAAATGAAAAAATAAAGCAGTCATGACGACTTTTTTTAACGTTGGGAAATGCATTTACGCACGAGGTGTGGGACTCACCGGCAAAGCCAGTACTACCCACTAAAACCCAACAAAACCTTCCCCCGTCTTAATGAAGCGTCGCAGGATCGCTTACGCATTCAACTACGACGCCCCGACGGCAGGTCTGCCGAAGCAGACCACAAAAATCATGGGGTTGCCCCAAGGTCCACTCTGCTATCAGAGAAGTACCAGGAGCAACCTGCATGCTACACCGCCCCCCGAAGAAGGCCTCCTCCCACCGCCCACCGAAGTGGGCCACCTCCCTGTGCGTTTCTTGGCTTCGCGCCCGGCTGAATTGCCGGGCACTACTGAGCCCCCCCCCCCTTACCACATTGGGGGGGGGGGAGCCATGAGGCGCCGGCGGAAGTGAAAACTTAAAACTATTTTCTATTTTTTGTTTTCTTGTTTTCTAAATTCTAAATTTCTTGAAAATGATCAAAATGTACCAACTAATAAAATTATTGTAACATAATGTGATAATAACCTATGTCAAAGGTCGTTAATGACCTTAGATGTTAAAAAGTGACCTAAAATAAATTAAAAAAAGTTTTTTTTTTTAATTTACATAGAGTACAACACCAAAATACGGTGAAGGATGTTTTGTGTATAATTAGCACTTTATGTTAGGCCGTATGGAACCCGTCCAGCCGTTTTTGTATGGAGTTACAAATATACACACACGTACGATAGTGTTACATCTCACCAGTCTTCACCAAGCCTAGACCATCAAACTCCCAACCAACCTGTTCTTGGACTAGACTAAAATATAATAATAATATAATATGTTGGGACATTAACATACAGCACCGTCTAGTTCCATGGTAAGCTACGAGGCTAGTGTTATGGATACTAGATAATTAATACACTATAGATATATAACTTTAAATACATACACCCATAACTGGTGTACAAGCATTGGTGCTCGTCATACAAATGAATGCCCCCAGCGGGATTCGAACCCGCGACCGCTGGCACAGCTAGTAATAAAATAAGCTTACCCGTTTTTATAATAAGATAAGGCAAATAAGTTAAACTTACAGTGACCAGTTCTATAGCTGTGAACGTCAAAACAGGAAGACCAACTTTTCTATTCACCGTCAAAATGCTGGTGTTACCATGTAACGCTGAGTTGAATACATAACACACGCCATATTCCGTTTCAACTGGATGAAACCTAAGAATATGTTTTATATTATTTAAAAAAAAATACGGTTACATATTAAAGCTTAGGCGAAAGGTCGCATTATAGGCAGACATTTGTCAGTGTAGTCAAAACAATTTCCACTTGGATGAAGTTCCTATTCAATTAACGTGAGAAATAAAAAGTTTCATATTTAAATACTCAACAAAAATTTTAAAATTGCATCGAAATGACTATTAACAACAACAAGCTTTCGCTCGGGTGTGTCCCCTAAGTAAACGGATTTTGTTCACAATTTCATGGTTTTTTTTTGGCGCGGAACGCTGTCTTTTTCTAAAATAAAAGCACTTAAAGTAAGTAGTCTTAGTTACTCCTTATAATAATCAACTATCTGCCAGTGAAAATCTCGTCAAAATCGATCCAGCCGTTTTGGAGATTCGCGGGAACCAATATATATATATATATATATATATATATATATATATATATATATAGACAAAAATTTCAATAATTCTGTTTTCTTAATACCGTAAATATACTTTCTTATGCGTTTAGTAAAAAGCTGTTATTTCGAAATTACAAACAGATACTTCAATTTTATTTATTTGTATAGATAATAAGAATAAAAGAATAGAGATTTAATCTTTTAAATTATTTATAAAATCTAACCTCATAAAAACCACACAATCAGAACAAACGATTTTTATCGCGAATATTAATTAATCTATTGGAACATTTAATTAAATACTCGTATACTTCAGAGCTTAAGTTAAGTACTCTCTATTTCATTATATTGCCTTCAGTTAATTAACAGGACTTTTATATTCTATCTTAAGTACTTCATCTATTGATATTTTTAAACGAAATGAACAAAACAACGCTTCACCCGAGTGCTATCTTATTTTCAAAATCGTAATTATTTTTACGTCACAAGAAAGAAATTTGACTTTTTTACCCTATCTCATCCCGATAGGAAATAATTTAAAAAAATATTAAAATTGGATTTTTTAAAAGTAAAGTATCGCCTTAGATGGATATAGTAAATTTTATCATCGGCACTATAACATAAATGAATGGATTAATAAGTATAAAATGTCCAATATTCTTTTAAAAGCAGTGTACTTAAGATTTTAGGAAAAAATCTATAGCTTGTACTTTATTCCGGTATAAAATAAATATAATTTAAAAATATATATATTAAAACTCACCTATCACAGCATTTAAAGTATCTGCCATCCCACCAACAATCTGTTAATATTTCAGAACATCTATTTCTGATTATCTTAACTGCCTCTTCGAAATCTTCTATACACGTTACATTCACGCGACATATATTGCACGTTCTACAATATTTTACGTTCCAGAATGTCACATCCTTCAGAAATATTGTTAGACTGAGAGGCAATTTGTTTCTGGTCGTAAAAAGAAATGACTACAGTGAAATCGTGGAAAAGAACTTTCATATGAATCAATATATACCTACATATAGGATACTTTTTACCGCGGAAAAATATCTCATTTGAGAAAAAATACAAAAACTGCAATGTAAGAGTATATTAATATGTAAAACCTAAGAATTTGGTTTTTTATCATCTGAACGCGAGCGAAGCCGCGGGCAATGCTAGTTTATTTATTTGGAGCTATCCTGAAATAGTGTATTTATTCTAGAAATTTTAAGATCGATTAACTATATTAATAAGTAATAACATAGTCTGCTTACATATTATTATATAAACAAAAAGACAGCTTAATAAAATTTACTCTCACACAAAGCTGCTATAAACTAAAATGCTTTATGCATCTAACAAAACTCAAATCTTTCTCGAATTTTGTACCAAATGCTAAATATTTCACCAGAATATTTCAACACGGCATAAACACAGACTGTGTAAAAACAATTTGATATTTTTTTTCATAGAGTTCGTTAGGTTTTAACTCGTAGATATAACAATGAACATAATATTTAAAACAAGTATCGCGTCGTTAAGTGCTTAAAATATATATAATATACTACTCGTAGTTCGCAGATTTGTGAAACTTACTCGTACCTACAAAGAAGAACCATAAAATGAAAAAGATACGAGTATCCAATATTTTTAGACAGATCTTGAAAAGTCTCTATTTTTTAATTAATAAAATAGTAAAATAAGAAAGTCTAGATGAAATCTGTTAACTGAACGTCTACCATTAAGTCTTATTGCGACTCAATTTACGACATAATTATGAATGAATGATGAATGAATGATTTCGGCATTTCATACTAAGAGGTTCATAAAACGTTTAGTCTAGGTAAAGGCTAAGTTAAAGTCTAGCGTCAATTATTCAATTTACACTAGCTCAATTCAGTACAATCGAATTGGACCTGGCATAAATCTACGTTAATTATATGGTGTGACATTGGCTCCTACAATACAGTTTTTATGAGCGCATGGGCTAGGGAATTCATTACCCCCAAACGTGCGTTCACCTTGTCGTGGTGGGGGGGGGGGTCTCAGTAGTGCCCGGCAATCGAACCGGGCGCGAAGCTAAGAAACGCACAGGGAGGTTGCCCACTTCGGTGGGCGGGGAGGTGGCCCTCTTCGGGGGGCGGTGTACCTTGCGGGTTGCTCCTGGTACTTCTCTGATAGCAGAGTGGACCTTGGAGCAACCCCATGGTTGTGGTGGTCTGCTTCGGCAGACCTGCCGTCGGGGCGTCGTAGTTGAATGCGTAAGCGATCCTGCGACGCCCCATTAAGACGGGGGAAGGTTTTGTTGGGTTTTAGTGGGTAGTACTGGCTGTATTACGCCGGTGAGTCCCACACGTCGTGCGTAAATGCATTTCCCAACGTTAAAAAAAAGGGAATGCATTACCACTTACATCTATAAAATTATGTCAATAAAGAATAAATTTATTTAACATATAACACTGTTGATGGTATGAAAACGTGCGATTCAACAAGTTTAAAAACCTAAACAGAACTTCTCATTGAAAATAAATCACTGTTTAAGGCTCGGCCCTCTGTTAACCATTACATATATGTCTGTAAATGAATTGACTGTTACTAAATCATTAAAAAATGGGCACTGGTAGCTCAGTGGTATCATCTACTGCTGCTAGTGAAACGAATTTATACCCCATGTCACATTATGAGAAAATCCGCATGTTTATATGAAAACTACTTTAATTATGACCTATTTGAGGGGAGGCCCATGTCCATCAGTGGCACGTTAAAATACACAAACTAAAAAATTTAATTGTAAATATTAATTAATGAAAAGGTACATAATTTTCACTCTTTTATATTTTTTTATTCAAATAAATAAATACAAGTAATAAATAACATACGTATAGTGGATGTCGAAACGTATACGAAGATTTAATTAATCGATATTCTTAGAATTCAATTACCTCAGCTCAGCTCTTGGTTCTCTATTTCTGTCTACTTTAGATTGTTTCTACGGTCTTAACTCAATATTTTGTGACAGATTAATTTTGCCATACATTATAAAATGATAATTTTAATATAGCTAAATTATTATAGTTGAATCTCGTGAAAATTTATAACTAAACTATAATTGAATATCTGAGTGTATTATATACATATAATAAAATTGCAACTAAGCCGAATCTGTATATTAAATATTTTTTGGGAAATTGATTGAAATAAGCATTATTATCGATACAGAGACCAAATCTATAGTTTTCAGAATTTTTGTCTGTCTGTCTGTTACCGCATCACAGAAAAACTACTAGAGGGATTTTGATGAAATTTGGTATGGTGATAGCTGGTTGCCCGGGTCAACATATAGGATACATTTTACCGCGGGAAAATATCTCATTTCTGAGAAAAAATACAAAAGCTGAAATGTGAGAGTAGAGTAGAGTGTGAGATGTAGAGTATACTAATATGTAAAATCTCAGAATTTGGTTTTTGGTTTATATTGATTCAGAATTATATTTGATTATTGGTAATTTATTGTTAGAAAAATAAGATGCCTAAAGCTATTTTATGAACAGAATTGTTTTTATATTTATATAGAAAATAATAATGAATCAACTCACTGATTCAGGTAAGTCTTAACTCGACCATTGTCACTTTGTTCGCAAACCGTTACCGCTGGGAAGGGCGTTTTCCAATCTAAATAATTTGTCTCCAATGAATAAGAGGCGGCGCCGGTTGAAAATAATTGAAGTGCTGACTGCAAGATTACGCCAGCACCGAAACATGAAGCTATTAACACTGAAGACCAGAAAATTCTAAAAGAATAAAAATTTAGCTTTAATTCGCAATAAATTATCAATACCTAATATGATCAACCCTTTTACAGAGAGACATATTACAGATTTACTTATCTTATACTTCTTAGCTTATTCTTCTCTTCTCTTTTTTATACTTTAGATTTAAATCTAAAGTATAAAAAAATCGTATATTTTTAAATCAGATTACGTCGTTCTAAACCAGATATACTCGTAGACATTTTTTTCACGTGATGCGTATTTACGTAATACGTAATTACATATTATCTAACGTAATATTGACTTTAGAAATGCAACTTATACATAGATGAGCCGCATCATATTTTATTTTATACTTACTAGCTTCTACCCACATGTCCACTCAGTACTCACATATTAATGTATTTGACTTGTACTAATAATGGAGGCTACCCTCCATTGTAAGTAGTACTATTAATAAAATCGGCTTAAATTCAAAATGAATTTTTGACATCGGATTGGTAGTTCCAGAGATAAATAAAATTCATTCAATTAAACAAAAATATAATTTAAAAAAACAATCTCTTCATTTTTAATGTTTTAGTGTTTGCAACGATATGAAAATTTATTGAGATTAGTTAAAAAAGTATTTATTACTTGAATAAAAACTTTTTTGTATTTAACTTTGGTATTAAAATAATAAGTGATAGTAATTGTTTCTTTATAAAATATGGAATAAACTTTCATATTAAAATAATATATTTGATATTTTAAATATTATTATTAATTTTTATATTTAAGCATTTGTTTTGGCTGAATATCTTTCTTTCGAACTGGCAGCTAAACATAAATTACTGTCGATTTAAAAAAAGAACGTAAACAGTTTGGCGCGTAAAATAAATGTAGAAGCTAAAATTTTAGAACGTAGAGAGATATTAACCTAATAAATGAAATCTTTATTTTGATTATTAAAAAACTTAGTCACCTTTTAAAGTAAGAAATATACGTGATAGAAACCACATAACGAATTCCATGTAAGTTACTCATATCTCCAAAATATTTAATTTTTTTGCTTAATTTAATAAAAAATAATTTAAATAAAGAAATATTTTTAGCCATTGTCGTAATAAGCTGTAATCACACAATATGAGAAGATAGTTAACGAGCTAGTGTTCATTTCACTTTCGTGCCAAATAGATTTATAATACTAACGTTCGTGGTAAAAGCTTATGGGTAAAGCTGTCACGTAATCGGACAGTAAGCTCCACTAATACAGACAGTATCCATATTTATTTTAATAATTTTATGATTTAGAAATTATTTTACTAATATACAATACAATTATATTGAAAAAAAGTAATTTTTATATGATAACAAATACTGGTTGATATATTTCAGCTACCCCTAGGTTATATCGAAGCTGCTTGGTTTTTTATTTTAGTTTGAACAAATTGCTTGAGAACGGTTTAAGACCTTTAATGTATTATGTAAGTTTAGTGGATTATTGTCAATAACATTTATTATGTATATGAAAACACTTATATGTGCGTATATGCTCGCAACTATATGTGTACTTTGTAGTTTAAAAATTAATTACAAGCAAGAACATGAAAAACACAAGGTATTTCTTAAGCACATTTAAAATATAGGCATTTAACGCACGTGATGAAACCATTGACAAAGTTTAGTATACAGTAGAGACTCGAGAGACTCGATTATCCGGCCCTCAGTTATACGGATTCGCGATTATCCGGACTACCAATGGCGACGTACCCAACCCCTCAGTCTTTAGTTTATTTTAATTAAACACTAACATTAGGTATTACGTAATATGTACGAAAATCGGTTTTTTTTTCATACATTCGATTATCCGGATTTTCAATTATTCGAATGCCTACTGACAACAATTAGTCCGGATAATCGAGTTTCTACTGTATTAACAGAAAAAAAATTGCTACTTTTACACAACTGTGTACGTGATTAATATCCAAATTGGATTTATTTTTTGTTATTTACTATTCGTGCACATTTATAATGTAAAAACCATGTTATGTTTTAAATACATTATAATAATTACACAAGTTTTAACCATGCAAATATATTCTTAGCAATAATTTTTAATTAAAGCCATTTTAACAAATACATATGTGATACAAAATAAATAATATGAATATGAACCTATTAACAATCTTTTATTCCTTAATAAATGGAGTAGGTAATATTAAAGAAAACTCTAATGAACAAATTAAGTATGAAAAATGCTATTATATTACTTCATACATAAGGGATGCCTCATTGGTCTTTCCTCTCCTAAAGAACGTCCTGGCTTTGTAAGTCTAAGGGCACTGAGTGTAGGTAATCAGTTTTTCTGTCAAGAATTTCTTATAACAGTTAGAATTTGGGATTATTTAACCCTTGTCACGGCAGGTAAAGCTGTCCGTTCGTGTCGAATTGTCGCTTCATCAGACTTTAGTGGAAGAAGTATATAGAGTGCGCTTCTGTGCATACATATTTATAGCATGACTGCACTATAATATCTCCTGCGCAGATGACGAGTCTAAGTAAGATTGGTAACTGGGACCAAAATGAATCAAGAGAAAAATTGAGTATGAAGTAAATTAAAGAGATCGACTCTTTTATTACTATTTATACATATATATATATATATATATATATATATATATATATATATATACATACATACTATATATGTATACTTATATCTGTAACAATAATAGACAAATAATATTACAATTAACTATAATTGACATTTACTAACAAATAGAAATCTTATTAATAGTTTATTTTGACCCATTTTTTCCGTTGTTCAATACTGTTTGATACATTTAGCAAATAACAGATAGCTCAATAGCTTATTAAAGAGCACTCAAAAGAGAAATAAATTGTTCTTTTATTTTATCTTCTTTATCTACGTTTTAATCGTGGTAACAATATGAGTACGACCTTGTCATTTGTTGATATGCAAGACTGTTCAGTCAAGTTAAATAATTGGCTACAGTTCTTCGTTACCTTTTATTTCCCAAAAAAAATATAGTTTACTTTTTATTATAAAAAAATATATGTTAAAATTGGCAGTGGTAGCCCAGTGGTAACGCGCTTGCTTGGGAAACCGAGTGAAGCGGATTCAAATCCCGGGTCTCGCACCTCTGATATTTTCATGTGCGAATCGTTTCTAACATGATTACCACTTGCCTTACGGTGAAGGAAATACATCGTGAGGCAACCTGCATATCTGAGAAAACCTAGCAAGTTTTCAAAAGACATGTGAAGTCCGCCAACCCGCACTTGGCCAGCGTGGTGGACTGTGGCCTGATCTTCCTCGTATTGAAGGGAGACTCGTGCCCAGCAATGGGACGTTAAAAAAGGGCTGAATACATAATATGTTAAAATTCAAATATACTTAATTAAGTATTTAAACAAAACAAATGTACACTTATAAATTGTTTAAAAGAATTAACATTTGACACAACGTATCGTTATACACAATAGGGATATGCATATGCAAAATAAAACTGTAGTTTTTCCTTAATTTTTGTGATATGTGTTAAATAAATATTTTCTACGTTGTCGTAAATCAAATACTAAAATAAAAATACATAACTCAAAAAAATTAGTATACTCCAAAACTAAATTTAGTATAAAATATCGCTGATATTTGCTTGAAATAAAAATGTTACCTACGAATGTCAACTTTTATGTTCCTGTAAATTTTTACATTTACCTAGAAAGTCACGAACAGACAACGGCACTAAGCACCAGAATTATTAAGATTCTTATATTTTTGAGAGAGAAACAGCTGTAATTTCTACTTTCGCTCGCTCGGGTGCGTCCCTAGGTGCAATGAGAAACCGTTAACCGAGTCGTTAGTTCACCTTAAACTGCCAAGTACGAGTATATTTAACGATAGGAAATTGCAGTGTATATGTATGTATATGTATTTGCTAAAATTAATCTTAATTCAATAATTTTGTCGTGATTTTTTGAATCGAGTTTTATTAACAAATCTATTACTCGTAATTAATTCGCCATAATATAGTATAGCTGTAACAATCATTTTATGTTCGATTATAAGAGTATTTCATGCCTATTTAGTTTATAAGCATTAAAAAAAGAAAAAACGTGTTGTCAAACTCTATAATTTTGTCAATTTCTAATTAATAGACCGATTATGAAAAAAAAACTACATTTGGACCGTGTTATTTTTGTACATAATATGTAGACCGACTATAGCTCTGAGCGAATTAAAGTAATTCTTTTATTTAAAATTGGCTGTATTGGGACTTCCATATCCACATATCAATGAAAAATAGTTAATATATTACAATTATTAAATTACTATTATTTCTTATTCGTGTAATATTTTTAAGTCAGATCGTTATCAAAAGAAGTTATCAAAAGATTAATTATTTGGAGATCATAGAGTATAGTGCTACTATTAGATTACATCTCATACCTATTGCAGTTTAAAAAAAAATTTTGCAATATTTTTAATTTATTTCAATTAAAAATATTGCAAAATCTATTGTACAATTAGTTCTTTCTTAATAATTAATTTTAGTATGAACCATTTTTCTGCTATGAATATTTCCAAAAAAATATATCAGAATCAAGTAAGTAAGAACCAACATATAATTTTCTTTTCTTTTACGTCACCAAACATAGCAACCTTGACTCCTGTACATATTTACGTAATATTTATCATAACTGTTTCATTATTATCAGATATACGCCCCGAACAACAATAAATGTTATACATATCTTCTATCTCTTTCACTTTCGACAGTACAAATTGAAACGTTGCGGGGACCGCTCTTGCGCAATGTGTTAAATTTAGATGAAATTGAAATAGACTTTTTAATTAATTTTAAATATGCTATAGTGATTTTTGAGTGAAAATGATCAGTTTTAGTAAAATTCCAGCAAGACGAGTGATTAGATGGAAGGATCGCGTGAATTATCACTCTGGACTGGGGGTGTTCGGGCATCGACCGCGTGAGGTGAATGAAAGTGGTATGTTATCAATAGGAATGAATATACTATAATCATTATTCAAATAAGTCATTATAAGCAAATAATATTATGTGTGTATGCACACTTATTTACTATGTCTGTATATCAGAAATAATATAGAGCTATTGTGCGTGTTCTTAGGTCCAGTTGCACCATTTATTTATTTTTTATTACACTACGTATTAGTGTAGGATTCACTGAACAAAATAATTGTAAATTATTAATGTTGATTTAATTTTCTGTTTAGTAAAATTCAAACTTATATTTGCTAAACATTATACTCGTAAAATACATTAAAATCGAAGCAAACGTTTTAATATGTAAGTTCTTTATCTTAATAAAAGGCCTCTTGTGGCAACTAATTTTTCTCTAAAAATCAAACTCAGCTTATTTAATATAATAACGCTATGTTTATGAAATGCGAATAAATTAAAACAATTATAAATAAGAATATCGATGTTATCAACAATTATTCCAATTTACATCATTTGATAACAAAAAATATTATATCATAACAATATATGTATGTACCTAATTACTCGAATCGGTCACTAAGTAATAAAACGATTCCAATCAAATCGATTAATGAAATGTTTCTAGTCCAATTAAACGTTATACAAAAATAAAATATTTTAATTTCAAACTAACTAAACCATCCTAAATAAAATAAACAAGATATAAATTTCGTAGCATCAAAAGGATTTTTAAAAGGTTGTTTGGATTTGTACTTTGAGCCAGTTATTTTCTTTTAGATGTAACGCCTATGAATAATATATCTCTTATATTTGATGACTTAGACAAAAACTAAAATATTTTCACTAAACGGCTAGAAATTTTATTATTGTAGAAGAAATATATACATTTTCTATAATATTTTTAAAGGTTCTGTAGTTCAGTACTGGTATCCTTGCATATTTGTCCATCTGTTCGTATATCACAGCCATTTTTTCGGCAACTTTATGGCTAAAATAGGTATATATATGTCATAAAACCGCTTAAGAATGCTCAAATTGCATAACATAAAAAATGAGTAATAATCCAGACTAAGTTCATTGTTGTATTCAATTTTATTTTCGTGGCTACATAAAAATACAGTCTTGTGACTCTTGATCTTGTGATCTTTATAAGATAGATGTACCATCACCACCTTTTATATTTATTTATTGCTGTTTTTAATATCCTAACACTTTTCGCAAAAATAATATCTTATGAGTACTAGTAAACGTACTAGAATAAAAAGCTAGATATATACAAAAAAATGTGTAAAAAATGGCACAAGTGCACTCTCTATTCTTGTCAATCTCATACTCTTTATCAGCACTTCGAAGAACGGTGCCGTAATACCCAACTAACTTCCCAACTAGGAGCTATTACTTAGAATTTCTTACTAGGAAAACTCAGTAACTTGGCACGACCCGGCACTCGAACTCAGGACCCCTGGATCTGCAGTCGTACATGCAAATAGACTACTAGACAACTAGAGCAGTCAAAAATATCAATAATTTTATTAAAATTATGTCATGGACAGATGTTTATGCAATACTCCTCTTTATAACTTAGAATCTATCAAATCACCACTCACCATCTCCACCACCATAATAGTGGCCGTGAAATATTATGACCCTGTATTTATTCGAATTTTACTTTCTAATTTACTCAATTTCAGAAATTCCTCAGGAAGTGCTGAACAAGAGAAACGAAAACTGTCGCGTGCATCGGCTAGTAGAAGCGTATCGGACTTACGGTCACCTGCGAGCGCGTATTGATAATGTCGATTATAAACACGATAACAGGTAAAACTTCTTCAAAACGGGAGAGACTTTCATTTGGTTGTAAGTTTTTTTTTGTGTGTGTTTCGCGATTTTCATTAGTTGTGAATCATTTTCCATAACACTTCAAAAGTGGTCCAATACAAGTTTAAAAAAAACCACTTCTGAGGGTAGGTTATAAGTAACCACGAATTGTATTTTTATAATATGTAGTAGTATAATATAAATATTAAACTAAATATTACATATTCATTTGATTATTGACAGACTAACTGATTTTAATTAGTAGCTCTATTTAAAGAACTTTTACTTGAAGTCAGTAACAATTATTAGAAACCTAGAAACCTTATATTTAAAATATCTACATGTGTATATTATAATAATTTGAGGGCTCTTAGTAAAAATACGGTCTATAACTAGAACTAACTCTTCATATCACAAGTTTTTTAAAGTATAAATTTTCATAACAATTATTTCTTTAGGAAAATTCTGAATCTCAATTCCAATTTATGATTTTAGAGATAACAGCATCTTCAATACATTACTTTTGACTCTATACTGTACAGTGAACACAAATGTACACTATGTAACAGCTCAACGAATTTCAGTGAAATTGTGGGGGGTTGAGGCTCGTTAGCGTCCGGCAATCCCGCCCACCACTTTGCCCATGCGGTGTCTGCCTAAGCAGGCAGGCATCCGGGCGTCGTGGTTGAACACGTAAGCGATACTGCGATGGCCCATTAAGTCGCAGGAGATTCCGTTGGGCTTTAGTGGGTAGTACTTGCTTTTCCGGCTGATAAATCCAATTAACCAACTGAATGTATGCAGGTTGATGCATTTCCCAATGATAATCTGTGTTATAAATTTCATCTAAAATCTTCCAGATGTTTTAACCTAAAAAGTAACAAATATACACACTCACACATACAATTTCGTATTTATAGTAGTAGTCCAATTTAAAATCTTACTCTCTCTTTACTCGCTCCGATACAAATTGAATTACGATTAAGCGAAAATGCCTAAACGGAAACTCTAACAAGAAATAATATCGCGAAGGTATAAATCGAATCAAAGATTTATCACGCCATGTTCCTTCGGGTTCGAAATTACGTGAAAATATTTTTTATTATTTGGATATTGAACAAATTTTAAAAATACTTTGAAAACAATTATTATTAAACCTCAGTACATACTAATATTTAGGTATCAATTAAAATGTCTCATTGGTTCAGTGGTTAACTCATACTGCTTACGAATTAAGTTCTGGGTTCAAGTCCTGAGTCTGACCAAAAGTAGTTAATTAAAGTCTAGGTTCCATCAAGCCACATTCAGTAAGAAAATGTAAAGCCACCAGTCCTGCACATTAATTAATCTTAATAATTTGTTACTCATTTGTTGGTTTTTCCTTCTTTCACAATGTAGCAGGACAGCAAATCAACGTAAGTTTTGGCAGTGATTATATATATATATATATATATATATATATATATATATATATATATTATATATATATATATGTCCGTTTCAAAGACTTTAGGGATGGACTTTTTAGATTTTCTAGGGACGGGCCTAAATAAAGCGAGGGAAAACCAAACCAAACAAGTTTTAAATATAAGAAAAAAAGACGGGAACTTAGCGATTTTCTCTATTATCCGTCTACTTCCGTAAAAGTGTATAAAATTTAAAATCTGCGCATTTATTTACAGAATCGTCAAAGAGCTCGAGATTTCGAAATACGGTCTATCCAATACAGATACTGTGGATTCGGGTTTATTATATGGCTACAGTGGGAAACAGTCCGCTAGGAACTTGGTCAAACAATTGGAGGAAATTTATTGTGGACCCATCTCTTACGAGTTCTCATACTTGGAGGTTTGTTAAATTTAGTTTTTACTAATGCTAAAAATATGTCAATATATACTTTTCTTCGAAATGAATTGATAAATCGCTTTAAAATACATGTTACTAGAGACGTAACTTCGCTTTGCTTGGACGCGTCCTTGCGATATTTCAATCTGAAAACTAAACAGTACTTCTGAAATCAAATATGGCCTACAAGTATGATAATGGAGAATATAGCTTCCAATGGTAAAAGAAGGATTTAAATCGGTTCTGCAGTTATAGAGTTTTTCAATCATTTACTATATTTGTTCTTTATTGTATTTATGTAGATATACATAGATTATTGTAGATAAAAATAAAATCAGAGTATTAAAATTTAACCGATTGAGCTTTATAAAAATTATTTTATTTTGTTTTAAATTTCCATTTCTCCTATTAAAACTCTCTTATTTTACTAGCATGTTTTAGAAACATGATATTTTTGAAAGCAGAATCAAGCAATTCGCTGAAAAAGACAACAAAAACGAGATTTAATTGGTTTAAAACCTGTTTTGCCATGAAATTAAAACAATTTTGCCATTTAAAGCGAAGTATTTAGTCATTTGATAAATGTTATTCATATAAACTTTTATCTGATGGTTGAAACATAAAAATTTACTTACATAGACTTTTAATGTTTCTGGTCAATAGCTATTTTCAAAGCACCTGTCTCACCTTCAATCACGTTATCACGTCAGCAATTTGTATTATTCTAAAGACATGCAAATGAATGGTTCATTTACTAAGGGTTGCGGGGAATGAGGTAATGAATATTGATAGATACTCGCTGAGACTAATAACCTTTGAATAATTTAATTTGCACCACAAAAGAACGCTTTAGCGCACTTTTTTGATCTACTTTAAAATATAAGAGTGCCTACCCCATTCGGCTTCATTGTTTTATTTAAATTACGCCATAACTTTGCTTGTTTTTTTTTCGATCTTAGTATTTTTTTATCAATCGTTTATAGCTTAAGAGTGATCTCATTATTAAAAAAATAAGATAAAATAGCTAAGAGTGGAATAATACTTAATAAGTGATTTTCAAATCGATGCACATTTTTATTAATTTTCCGATCGTATTCATACAAACAATATAAGAGCTAAGTCATAACATGAGGCTTCTTTCTTTCAAATCAAGAATTCCTTATCTGAAAATGTTTCAGTAGGGTTTTATTAGAGGTTCTAAATATAGATGTATATTTTTACAGGTCACCTTTTATGTTCTTTAAATAAATAAATATGTTGGGGCATTAACAATTTAACACACAACACAAAGTAGTTCCATGGTAAGGTGTTATGGATACCACATAGTTGATAAACTACACATATATAACTTTAAATACATACGTACAAATATAAACACCCATGACTAGAGTACAAGCATTCGTGCTCATCACACAAATAAATGCCTCCGGGACTCGAACCCACGACCGCTGGCACAGCAAGTAGGTCAGTCGTCAGTATACTTTATATGTCATATACATGTATATTTTAATAGAGGTGACATTTCAACCATTTAAGTACGCAACCCAAAAACCGAATACATATACCATGCATATTTCAATTTAAATTTCATTTATTTTTATGTAGACAGAAACAGAAAGGGAGTGGTTTACACAACGCATTGAAAGTGGTTCGGACATAATAGACAAAGCTCGTCAAATAGAAATCCTGACCGAACTATTGAATTCGCAATCATGGGACAAGTTCCTCTCAGTCAAGTACCCTACTGTGAAGAGATACTGCGGCGAAGGCGGGGAATCCCTGCTTACATTCATATCTACGCTTTTTGGACTTACTACTTCCGGTAATGATTTATACGATTTTATTTGAATTTTACGTTTTTGTAGTTGTTATCACTTTAAAGATCGCGAGTTTAATTCTGTTTGGTAAAGATCCATACTTAATATTATAAATGTGAAAGTGTGTTTGTTTGTCTGTTAGTTTGTTTGTATGTCCTTCTTTCACGTCGAAACGGAGTAACGGATTGGCGTGATTTTTTGTGAGGAGATAGTTCGAAGACCGGAGAGTAACATAGGCTACTTTTTATCGCGGGAAATTATCTCATTCCCATGGACACGTTCTAACTTTAAAATTTTTAAAAAATATTTATGACCAGAATTACTGGAAACCTTTTATTAATGCTGTTCAATATAATTAAATAAATATGTGTCTTAGCATTTTTCGAAATTCATCCCATAAGAGGGTAAAATAGGGGATGAAAGTTTGTATGAAACCTATCTTTTTAGTTCTTTTTGTAGTTTTAGCACGAGCGAAGCTGCGGGTTCTACTAGTATTCTATAAAGTCATTTAAGTAACTGTTCGAATATATTGGATTTTTACGAGATGTCACACACAGGTGTCATCAATCATTTAACATATAACGTTATTCAATTACTCAACTATACTGAAACTAGAATAAGCTTATAGTTTTCCCTTTTATATAAAGTAACTTAATTGAAAAGCTTTTCCTGATTTTTTAATTTTATCCTTAATTCTCAAAGAACATCGAAAATGCCTATGAATTTCATTCTCACATTATTTTAATAAATAATATAATAAAATTGTAACTAAGTCGAATCTGTACATTAAATATTTTTTGGAAAATCTATTTGAAATAGACATTATTATCGATACAGAGTCCGAATCTATAGTTTTTAGAATTTTTGTCTGTCTGTCTGTCTGTTACCGCATCACGAGAAAACCACTGGACAGATTTTGATTAAATTATCTCATTTCTGAGAAAAATAAAAAAAACTGCATTGTAAGAGTATACTAATATGAAAAGCATAAGAATTTAGTTTTTGGTCATATGAACGACGGATTATTTAACGGCTAGTATGGAATAGAATGATGAGTTGTTGTGGGTTGTATTACAACGTGTTTTCCCGTGGGAATGAGATAATCTCCCGCGGTAAAAAGTAGCCTATATCACTCTCCAGCCCTCCAACTACCTTTACACAAATAATCACGCTAATCCGTCACTCTGCTTTAACGTGAAAGAATGACAAACAAAGAAACAAATAAACACACTTTCACATTTATAATATTAATATGGATTTTTTACTAGATATCTTTTACATTTTGAGACCAACAGAGTTGCTGTAGAAACAAATGACCCTGTTGTTTTCAATCTTACCGCCTCAGGTGAGTTTGAAGTGAATATAGGTTGGATGATATAAAGCAATTACAGTGCACGCTCGTTAGTTGATCACTTTGTGTACAAGTAGCGCTATTGAAATAGTTTAATTTAGTTATTATAATAATTTGGCAAAAAAACATTTACATGTTCTACATTGAAAGAAGAAAAACCAGTCCTGGCTATTTGGTACCCTTTTTTTTTCAAAATATAAGCAAATATTTTTATAAGCTTTAACAGGATTTAAAAATAATAGAGCTCTTCATATTTTCCAATTAATCTATCTAGTGTTTAATAAATTTAACAATTTTGATATCTAGATAGTTAACATTCATTATCTTCAACATTTAAGTATTATTTTCTAGAAAAAAATAATGATTATGCCCTTAGAATTGCAATGAGATGAAAATATTACCTAGGTACTTGCGAATTGCATATATTCCTAGATTTCTTAACATTTATTTACAATGATAAAACATTAAAGATAACATATAACAGACAGACACAAATTATAATGAAATTATCAGAAAAGATTTATCTTAATATATATATTATATAGGTACCTAATTAATAATTATATTTTCAGTACCTAGAACCATAAATGCTAAATTCTAAAATATATTTGTTTTTATTATAATAAATCTCTATTTTTCCTCCATATTATAACTTTGTTTTAGAAAACCTAAAGCACGTAGTAATAGCGATGGCTCACCGCGGCAAGCTGAACGCTCTGAGTGGGCTCTTGAATTGTCCTCCGGTGAAAATCTTTCACAAATTCAACGGCAATCCTGAATTCCCCGAAGAGGCGAATGCTGTTTGCGACATATCAACACATTTGAGTGAGTTTTATGCAAATATATATAATAATATAATATTTTTTAGCAAAATCTTTCCCGTGACCATGATTGCTGTAAAGCATTCGAAACGTGGGGAATCAAAATTCTAAGTAAATCCACGAAGTAATCCGAAAAGATATTTTTTTAAACCATCGACTCACCCTCGTTCCGCTCGGGTTCATCCCTAGTTTCGTTTTAACGCTTAGTAGATTTCTCAGAGGTATTTTCCCGCAGTAAACATCCTATATGTTAACCCGGATAACCAGCTACCATCATTGCAAATTTCATCAAAATCCGTCCAGTGCTTTTCTCGTGATGCGTTCCCATACAGACAAGCAGACAGACAAACAAAAATTCTAAAATCTATAGACCAGCCTCTGTATTGTTAATGATGATTATTCCATTAAGATTTTCCAAAAAATATTTAATGTACTGATTCGACCCAATTAGAATTTTATTATATTTATAAATGTCAAATGTCGAGTAGGTAAATCTAAGAAAGTATTAAAATACGAGTATAACATCAATATGAATTTTTTGCAAATCTCTATGTATAATAAATAGCATCCCAAGAAACCATTTATACAACGATAGACATATGTATATAGGTATACTATTTAAAACCTTAATCTAATATACATATAAATATCTCGTGTCACGGTGTTTGTGGTCGCACTCCTTCGAAACGGCTCGACTGATTTTAATGAAATTTGTTTGGTATATTTGGTAGGTTTGAGAATAGGTCGTAAAGTATTTTTCACCCTCCTACCCCTCCCCCCCATTTTTTAAGTAAGTATGGAGCGAATTGAGTTGCTAGTACTTTTGTATTTAAATAAACGAAATTAGTTTAGTACCTACATATAGTATTTCAATTTTTTTCAGGTGTATCCACTGACATCACCATGAACGGTCACACTGTCCAATTTTCACTCATAAATAATCCATCTCACCTAGAGGTAATTGTTATTCTTATATTCCGCAGGACATTTTACAAAGTATCGTAAAATACACACTTTCATCTTAAGTAGTATCTTAAAATACATAAGAAACCGAAGGTTGTTACTTTTTCAGGATGTAACGATTCAATGGATTTGAGTAAAAATCGGAATGGAAATAATAAGTTTATATATGACAAATAGATGTACTAGTTAACATTTTATGTATCTTCCAAGCAGAGCCATGAACATAAATTAGTATATTATTATAAATAACTAGCGACAGAACTTCGCTTCGGTCGGGTTCGCCTCTAGAAAAATAAACACAAATCTATCCCACGGGAATATTAAAATTTTCCGGGATAAAAAGAAGCCTATGTCTAATTCTGATATATGAGCTATATTATTGTAAAGTTTTATTAAAATTCATTCAGTAGTTTTTGCCTGAAAGATTCACATCTATACATCCCGACATCCAGACAGCGATACACCCATACATCCTCACAAATTTTTCATTTATATAATATTAGTAGGATTAATTCACCAAAGTATATATATATATATATATATATATATATATATATATGTGTGTGTGTCAAGTGTGTGTGTGTGTGTGTGTCATGTGTGTGTGTATGTATGTCATGTGTGTGTCACGTGTGTGTGTGTGTCATGTGTATATATATATGTATATATATATATATATATATATATATATATATATATATATATATATACATATATATATATATATATATCTATTTTACAATATTTATTTTGTCATTAATTATTAAAACACTGTTAAAAACCATTAAAACTTTCTTGAAGGCTGCGAATCCAGTGTCTATGGGGAAAACTAGGTCAAAACAGCTCTCGTTGAAGGAAGGCGACTACTCGTCAGACGGGAGCTCGAAGTTTGGTGACAAAGTGTTAAATGTTCAGGTAATCTTACACTTCGTCACCTAATGATGATGATATTCATTATGGATATAAAACTTTAGTGCACATACAGTAATTAAACACTAATGAAACAAAAAGTAGAAGTAGTACAAATATAAAGCACAAAATACACGTATTGAAGGTTTTGGTCCAAAAAATACACAGAGATATTTGTAATAATTTACAAAAAAAATGATCATCAGACTCTATTCACGATTTTAATATTATAAGCGTTTAAAATTCTTATATTTTAATATTTGTTAATGTAATTCGTCTCTCATGCACGCTAAAGTATACCTAAACCTGCACAGTTAAACTGCACAGGTGGACCGTATCGAACAATATTGAACAGGTTACTGTCATATGCGTAAGATATATCGTATATTTTACCTACGAAATTTATAGTAGGGGAGCCCAAGAGGGGATTTTCTGTAGTTACTCGAGCGCGGCAAATTAACATAAAAGAGGTTACCTTGCACTCTATTGAGTACTTTCACTTCATCATCATAAACTTTATAGTCGATTTTTGCCTCTTCGGCTTGTGCAAATCGGCAGATTATTGAATTGGACACTTTTCAGGATGTGACTAGCCTACCACACCTTAATCTGACGGTTTCAAGTATTTCTATCTTATCAAAACATTTTTTAAATATTTTAATCGGCTTCCCTAGACGCGCCCCTTTATATAGAAGACTTATATTATGGTGAAAGTACTCAATAGAGTGCAAGGTAACCTCTTTTATGTTAATCTGCCGCGCTCGAGTAACTACAGAAAATCCCCTCTTGGGCTCCCCTACTATTAACTAAACAGAAATATAATTATGCAGGTATACCCCTGCATATATGACCGCTGTTATACTTCTAAGGCTGGCTCATACTTCTGAGGTCCATACGTATTTATTCCTACTCAGAAATCGAATCACGTACTCGTCCATATATAGTCTTATGTTGGATATTAACTAACATCTTAACTTCCGTATCAAAACACAGTTAATTCAAGTTTTGTCCCTCAAAGACCTTTGTATTTCGATAAACACAAACAAAGTTTGCTTTGAAATATAACACCATTTAACAGTAAACAACTATCGGGTTTTGACCTACTTTAGAACAAACTAGCGATTCGCCCTCGCTTCACTCGGGTTCGTCTCTAGCTTGCTTCCCAATACAAATTTTCTTCCCCATTTTCACCCCCTTAAGGGATGATTTCCGATTTAAAAAGTATCCTATGTCCTTCCCAGGGTCTCAAACTATCTTCTTACCAAATTTCATCTAAATCGCTTCAGTAGATCCCAGAAATTACCCCCTACAACCTCACAAACTTTACCTCTTTATAACATTAGTATAGAAGTATAGATAAAGTACTAAACTTTCTTTATCTAACTTAGGTCTGACTTGAGAAATATTGAGTTTGGTAAACTGATATTTCGTTAGTGAGCTAACAAATTAGTTTATTAATGGTAGGACGAGGCAAATATATTTCCAAGATCACCAAATGCCATTTAGTTTGTTTAATTTGATTTTTAATAATCTTAAAGTTTTATATATTTGATAAAGTTTTAAGTAATGTTTGTATATAAATATAACCCTTTTGATACAATAACTGTCTATTACTATTAACTGTATGACTAATATTATTTTTATTAGTCCGGCTATTGAGTAAACTGTGTCGCTAGTATATAATCTATACATATAATAAAATCGTAACTAAGCCGAATCTGTACATTAAATATTTTTTGGAAAATCTTATTGAAATAAACATTATTATCGATACAAAAGCCGAATCTATGTTTTTTAGATTTTTTGTGTTTGTCTGTTACCGCATCACAGAAAAACCACTGGAAGGATTTTGATGAAATTTGGTATGGTGATAGCTGGTTACTTTTTACCGCAGGAAAATGTCTCATTTCTGAGAAAAAATACAAAAACTGCAATGTAAGAGTATACTAATATGTAAAACCTAAGAATTTGGTTTTTGGTCATCTGAACGCGGGTGGAGCCGCGAGCAATGCTAGTATAAATATAAAAATAGCTACTAAACTAAAAAAAAAGAAAATCGGTTGAGAAACAGAGGAGAAAAAGGTAGGTGCTCAACTTTTGTGTCTTATTGCCTATATAATATATTTGATGCCTATTTATATATAAAGATATAAATAATAATTATAAGTGAAGTTTTAACAAATGTACTTTGCCATAGATCCACGGCGACGCGGCGTTCACTGGGCAGGGAGTGAACCAGGAAACTTTGATGCTATCGCAAGTCCCGCACTTTGAAGTTGGAGGATCTTTACACGTAGTTGTTAACAATCAAGTAAGCATTTTCTACGATATAAACTTATTTTTACCTGCATTTATTTCGCAAAGTGTATTTTTATATAACTGCTTGGCATCTAAGAATATAGTGTATTTTTACTTTCCACTATAAATAGTGTATCCCATCTCATTCTATCCCATCCTATAAATAGGATAGATATCCCATATTAACTGTGAGTCAGAATTTTATCATACGTACGTTTGTATGTGTATGTACGTATGTCAACGAATATAAAACATATTCAAATACATATTCCTATTAAAGACACCTAAAAAGGACAATGCCGTAAATGGCCTATGATCCTCTAAGCATCCAACTTAGACCCATAATTAACACCTTATTTTGAGGTTTAAATGTAAATTATTACATTTGACAGAACACTTCTTAATTCCGCAAATTTTTTTAAGAGTAGTTTAACGACTTTTTCTATTCTTTCTCATTTGCCGACACCATATTATTATTGATTTCTCAACGACGCTTAATGTATGGATAGTTTTTTTTTAATTTCCAATAGACATATATAATTTTAGATCCTTTATTGCATCTTTTAGATATCGGGTAATAGAATATCTTTTATTTCAAGTAACTTAGCAGTCATCAACATTATATTTTAATAAGTAATTATATCTATTGTATGTATGTATAGTTATATATTGTACAGTATAAAATATATGTATTATAATTATTGTTATCTATATATTTATTACTTGTATGTTTTATATATACTGTGATTTCTTTTTATTTCCATATTGCCTTGCATTTTTCTGCTCCGCTAAATGACAATCTTTCTCACCCTCTAGCTTAACTGGAAGAGATCTCTATAACAGATAAGTCCACTTTTGCCTTCAATTTTCTCTTAATATTTGTAATTTATGTGTTTTATGTGCAATAGAGAATAGATATAAATTTTAATTAAAAGCATTTATAAGGTTATAACTTTAATTTGATACTATAAAATAACATTGTAGGTAGGTTTCACGCTGCCGGCGCATCGCGGGCGCTCCAGCAAATACGTAACGGACCTCGCGAAGGCTATATCGGTCCCCGTCATACATGTCAACGGTGATTATCCCGAGGTAAGACAGATAGATAGTAATTTATTACGTAAAAGTCATAAGATAGAGCACTCTTTAAACTTTTCCATTAAACTCTAAGTCATCAAGACATTTAAAGATGTGAATAACACTGATATAGACTAATAAAATAAATTTTAAAAAACAATATATTATTTAACAACGGTTACCATGGCAACAAACAGTTATCAGCTAACTTCATCATGTCACTTTTTGGCTGTTGGTGTGCGCGCGCATCGTAAAAATTTGACTCATTATTTAAACGTGCCAAAAGAAGTATAACTTCAAAAAGTAGTGCAAAGGAATTTTATATAAAAACTAAAAATATAATACCAAATGATATAGCGAATATTTAAACAGTGACTGTAATACCATGAATGAAAATATGATCATCATTTAAAATAACTCAAAGATAAGAAAATGATTGAATCTGTAAATAATATCGTATTGGTACTTCGTAAGTTATAGTAATATGCCAGATACCGCAGGTTTGAGGCTCGCATATGGGAAATGTTTGTATTAACCATTCAAATGTTCATCAAAATATTATGTTAAAGATTAGCGACTCACCCTCGCTTCGCTCAGGTTCGTCTATAAGTGTGTTTTGGCGCTTAGTATGAAATAGTTTTTTTTTTCGTGAATTTTTCTGTTGTTTTAGTTATTCTTTTATTCGGGATGAAGACAAGTCCAACGAAACAAAGATCATAAAAATCGGTCCAGCAGTTCTCGAGTTACAAGGGTTGTATGTAACAAACCCGACTTTGTTTTATATAAGTAGATCAAGCATGAAATGCGCAGAAAAAAGCCTAAAACAATATGGAAAAAATAAAATTATTACTAAAACCTTAAACTGAATCTTTTACAGTGATATTGCCTTTGTTTTATTTTTAACCGACTTCCAAAAGGAGGAGGTTCTCAATTAAATTATTTTTTTAAATAAATTGATTAATCGAATACATTATTAAAAAACTTTCTTCTTACAAATTACCTGCTTAATACGTCTACACTAAAAATCGAAAAATGAAAACTTTAAAAAACCCGTCTTACCGGCACTAAAATGTAAAAAATAACTAAACGGGGGTTTTCATTTAGAATAGATCCCTAATCAGATAAGTTTTTATCGTTATAATAAATTATCTAATAGAGTATTTACATATTTATTTTGCTTTGCTCTTATAGTTAGTAGTAAAAGCAACAAACATAGCGTTCGAATACCAGAGGAAGTTCCGCAAGGACGTGTTCATAGATTACAACTGCTACCGGCGATGGGGACATAACGAACTGGACGACCCCACTTTCACTAACCCCTTGTTATATAAAGTCATATATGGCAGAAAGTAAGTTAGTTATTAGTTCGTTTTAATTGTTACTTTCTTATTAAAATTTGAAGACACGTTTGGCTCAGTTTGTAGTGACCCTACTTGCTGCGCCAGCGGTTGCGGGTTCGAGTACCGCTGGGAGCATTCTTTGTTGTTGTGTTTGTACTCCAGTCATGGGAGTTTATAGTTATATTTATATTATAATATGTATGTATTTAAACTTATATAAATGTAATGTATCTACTATCTGGTATCCATAACACAGGCCTCGCAGCTTACCATGGAACTAGATTTTGCTGTGTGTTAATGTCCCACCAAATTTATTTATTAATTAAAATTCTTATTAAACATACTAACATATTTATTATACTATCATTTTTACCCATGACTCTGCTGGTCTTTCTAAAGTTTATGTGTTAATGGAAGAAATATATGGGATAGACATAATATTGGGGTTCTATGACATACCTTACGACTCAATTTGGCTTTTCAATATTTTTTTTAAATGTCTATTATTTAACAATTGTAGAATGACATCTTGAAGCCTCTTAAATATATAAACTATTTGTATCCCAAATTTCATCTGAATTTAGTCGTTCACACTTATCATTACATACTACATAGTATATAGAAATATCCAGTTAGCGTTTTATACAGAGCTATATATCTGTATATCATGTTACAGAGATAAAGGTTCACACAACCACTGCAATTAGTACTACCGGTTGACAAAACCGTTTTTTTCTGGCTTAAATTGTTGATAATTTCATGCAATCATGAAAATGTACACACCACCATATGTATCTGGTAGTGTATCTAACGTTTCGTGATTGTATAGTTTTACCTCTACAAATATATTTACTTAAGTGCGTTACATTTTTAAAAGTTACAAATATGTACACTAAAGCACTTAAAAATCATTTTTATTATAATATATTTGTAATATAAATGTTTATTTATAGATCTATCCCCGACTTGTATGCGGAGAAACTTATTTCAGATTCCGTAGTGAGTGAATCTGACGTGAGCAATATAAACTCGAGCTATACGAAATACTTGCAACAGCAGTACGAATTTGCCAACTCCTACAAGCCGGAGGTGAGTTCTATAAAATCTTATTTTATTATTCAAAATATTTCCAATTAGCAATCTGTCTTAGCTCAGTATTTTTTATTCCCTAGTTTTTTTTTAATATTTTGTAACTTTTGTATAGAATACTAGCGACTTACCCTCGCTTCGCTCGGGTTCGTTCCTAGCTTGATTCCCGATACAAGCTTTCATCCCCATCTTCACTCCCCTTAAGGGATGATTTCCGGGATAAAAATCATATGTGTGTATCCTATGTCCTTCTCACGGTCTCAAACTATCTTCTTACCTTTTATCTAAATCGGTTCAGTAGATCCAGCGATTACCCTCTACAAACAAACGTCACAAACTCACAAACTGTACCTCTTTATAATATTAGTATGGATTACATACATATATCCTTCCATACCAGGCCTCGTACTTCCAAAAGCAATGGTCGCGCATGTCGCCGGCGCCGGCGGCCGTGGAGGTGTGGGACACCGGCGTCGACGCGCAGCTGTTGCAGGCGGTGGGCAGAGCGTCTGTTACTGCACCTGAGAGTTTTGTAAGTATATTGTTATTTTTAAATTTTCGCGTTCCATGATGATATAATAACTGGCACAACCCGCAGCTTCACTTGCGTTAAAACTACAAAAACATCTCTAAAAAAGTATTTATATATTTCCATACAAACTTCATCCCCTATTTTACTTTATCCCTTATGGGATGAATTTTGAAAAATGATAAAACACATATATTTATTTAACTGTATTGAAGAGCATTTATACCAAGTTTCAAGTAATTCTGATTATAAACATTTTTTCAATTTTGTTATAACGTGTTTTGCTGTGGGAAGGAGATAATCTCACGCGGTAAATAGTAGCCTATGTCACTCTCCAGCCCTCCAACTATCTTCCACACAAAAAATAATGCCAATCCGTCACTCCGTTTTGATGTGAAAGAAGGACAAACAAACAAGCAAGCAAACAAACACACTTTCACATTTATAATATTAGTATGGATTACACTCCGGGACTTAAACGTGTGAATTCGTTAGTGGCTATACCTTATTCCCGACGCAAACATGAAATGATAGCTAGAATGCCAGCCAGCCAATACACAAAGCATACTGACTTCAAAAATATCTGATTAGGTATCTATAGTAAATGAAAACTACCAATCAGTTATTCTTTATTTTTTAGTGTTTTTGTTTTGAACTGGTGCTTATTTTTTTCTTAAAAAGTTTTTCTAAGGCTCAATCGAACTTTAAAATAGGCATTATCTAGAATACATGAAGAAAATAAAAAAATGCATTTATATACCACTCTTTCTCCAAAACATTTTACAAACGTAGCCATACTTAATATTATAAGACGTGACAAATCTCAGATTTCAAAGTATTCTTATAAAAGGCGCAGGTGTTGAAGTGCTTAAAAGTCAGAGCTTTATATTAAAATTCGTCGAATACGAATGTTATAAAAGCACCTTTCGCTACTTTATATATGAATCATTTTATTTTTAGTATTTCTATTAAAGTTTAAACGTGAAAAAATTTCAACAGAAATGGTAAATCCATAATTTGTTGTGTACCTATAGCTTTATTATATAATAGATTCTTTCATAATAAATTTGGTAGAGCCTATACTGAAATTGATTGTTTCGAAGCACTTAATTAATTTTGCTGGCCAAAAATTGATATAAAACTATCGATATACTCATACATCATAGGTGTATGAGTATATTGAGGCGGTGTTTCACCCCCGTGCCTCGGAGAGCACGTAAAGCCGTCGGTCCTGCGCCGACACTCTCACCGGTCGTGTCTCGCGTCGTCCCACCGGAGTATGAGAGTGACAGGAATAGAGAGTGCATTTGTGTCTGCGCGTACACTTGAGCACTATAATATCTCCTGCACAATTGGCTAATCTCAGTGAGATTGGCCGCCGTAGCCAGAATCGGCTAGGAGAACATCACTCACATCATAGGTATATACAATATATGTACATATATGTATACTTGTAGATATTTATAATTTTAACATAACTCTCACAAAATATATGTATTAAACTACTTGTTTCTCAATATATACCAACATTAAGTTAAATATTATGATTGCGTACATCATACTCCTTTAATTTTCTTTTCTTTAATTCTAATATTTTTGCAATTCACTAACACCTGCAGGTAAATTTCTAAAAAATTAATTAAATTTCTAAGAAATATATTGTTAACTGTAACGCCGGCGTGTACGCGGTCGTGGAGGGAATAAAAATAAACTTAATGGGTATATGTTATATTCTGAACATTTCATCATTTTATTACTGCAATACATTCGTACAGCAAATAGTAGAAAATTCTTTTAAACAAATAACATTTTCAATACAAAGTATTTCCAAAGCGCGACAGCGGACACCGGCACTAAACATCGAAAGTTCTGATCACAAAATGGTATCTGAAATGAATTCTAATAAAAATCTGTTTTTATTAGTTTATACTTATATAGCTTTACTAGCGACTAACTTTAAAATTGGTTTATGTATAACAAAATCCACATTTATTACATAGATTATACTTAATTAATAGCCTTAAAAACTATCTGATTATTTTTGGGTAAGCCCCTAATATTTCTTCTTCTATGTTTTTGATTACAATATGCTTATCTTTACGCATTTCCAATACCTAAAGAATAAATAGAAATAACAAATAGATTTTTCAGATCTTTCTCCAATCTCTATCACTAGGTAATGGGGATTCTTTTGGATACTGTAACAAAAAACGTTGTTAGTCTATCCTGTAAGGAAATCAAACCCAAGATCAAATCGATTCATACAATTCTAAAAACTTTATCTCAAAAATACATAAATAAATGTACTGTCCTGTAGTGCCGTATTTATTCGTATAAAGATAAATACTAAGAAATCACACACAGACACAATATTGGTAGTTTTTTTCTTTAAGGTCCATATAAAGCGCTCTAGCTTGCACCAATTCCTAATTTGATTTAAGTAAATTAAATGGAAAAAATTGCTGTCAAACAGTCTAACATTTACTAAAGTTCGACAGTACGTTTGGCTCAGTGTGTAGTGACCCTACTTTCTGTGCCAGCGTTCGCGGGTTCGAATCCCGCTGGGGGCATTCATTGTGTGATGAGCACGATTGCTTGTACTCCAGTCATGGGTGTTTATATTTGTAATATGTATGTATTTAAACTTTATATATGTATGTGTAGTGTATCAACTATCTGGTATCCAAGCCTCGTAGCTTACCATGGACTAGATGGTGCTGTGTGTTAATGTAACAAAATAAACAAATAAAGTAGGTATGAAGAAAAAAACCAAATAAAGAATGCTACTTTAAGGCAGTGGTAGCCCAGTGTGACGCGTTCGCGTGATAAACCAAGTGAAGCGAGTTCAAATCCCGGGTATCGCACCTCTGAATATTCATGTGCGAATCGTTTCCAACCTGACTACCACTTGTCCTACGGTAAAGGAAAACATCGTGAGGAAACCTGCATGTCTGAGAGAACCTAGCAAGTTTTCGAAAGACATGCTCAGTCCGCCAACCCGCACTTGGCCAGCGTGGTGGACTATTGCCTGATCCCCCTCATATTGAAGGAAAGCCCGTGCCCAGCAGTAGGACGTTAAAAAAGTTCTAAGTACAAGAATGCTACTTTATAAACGTAATTTTTTAAACATAAAAACACACGTATATAAAAGGTTGTAAGTTCATTTCTTAAGTAATGAACTGCAAGTTAATTAAGTCTTACTGGGATTTATTGCGTTAATTAATATTGAATTTCATTGTTTGTTACAAGATCCCTATTAAGACATGTACCCTCGGTAATTACAGGATCATAATATTCTGCTTATTAGTCAGTGCTGTAATAAATGGTATAGTTATGGCGTATACGATAGTGTGTTTACTTCTTTGGATATGGGTTTCGCTATATCAGCAAAGAGCACGATGCTGTGAAGTGAAATCATATCAGCCATCTAAGACTTTATATCGGGTTAGATCCGTCACATTATAAGACAAAGGTAATAGAAATAAAATAATCATTAGCTATACTTATATTATAAAGAGATAGAGTTTGTGAGTTTGTGACGGGGTAATCTCTGGATCTACTAAACCGATTTAGATGAAGTTTGGTAAGAAGATAGCTTAAGACACTGGGAAGGACATAAAATACTTTTTCTCCCGGAAATCATCCATTAAGGGGGTGAAAATAGGGATGAAAGTTTGTATCAGGAATCAAGCTACGGACGAACCCGAGTGAAGCAAGGGTGAGTGGCTAGTAATAGCATAAAGCCAAAGAGTTTTTTTGTAGTTTTAGCGCAAACGAAGCCGCGGGTTCTGCTAGTAAAGTATAAAAATAAAAAAAACCCGCAAACGAACTAACAAGAAATGAATAAGCTAAGGAAAATAACTATTACACATATAGGTACGTAGTAAGACTCACAGCAAGGATAAAACATGTGCAGTATCTGTGATTAGTTAGTTTAGTTTTATCCTTCCCGCAAGTCTTGCCACATGTGTGTCCCCGATTGCATATTGCTATGTTCCTTTGTCAAATTGTTTTTTTTTAATCTTTTAGTTTGTTTTTTGCGCAGTGGTTTTTTTATACTTTAATTTATTAATGTTTGTTCAGTTCCAAAGTATAAATACATATTTTGTCACATTCAATAATAAATTACAGTGTGGTTTGTGTAGCAAATACTTATACATCTATACATATAATAAAATTCTGAGTCAAATCTGTACATTATTATTTTTTTGAAAATCTTATTGAAATATATTATTATCGATACAGAGGCGGAATCTATAGTTTTTAGAATTTTTTGTGTCAGTCTGTCTGAGAACGCATTACGAGAAAACCACTGGACCGATTTTGATGAAATTTGGTACGATGATAGCTGGTTATCCTGGTCAATATATGGGATACTTTTTACTGCAGGAAAATATCTCATCTCTGAGAAATGTTAAATAAATGTAAACCTAAATTTCAATACAAGTTGTTTGTATTGAGACCTTGGTCTAATTAAAACGAAGTGCAACGATTGGTCGCAATATATATACATATAAACATCGTAATGGAAGTGCCGTGTAGTAAAAAACTACACTTCTTTATCAAAATATATAAGTTTATAGGTTCATGTAATGTACATTATACGTTTAACTACTAAAATTACATACAGGAATGAGAATTTCTACTTTAAATCGACTTCCTAAGCGGTTTCCAGAAGGCGGCAATCTTATATTATATAAGGCAGTAATTATTTAATGCATATATTATGTACGTATGAAAGTTTATATAAACTTATTAGTTAAGATTTTCATCTTCAAACTTTATATTATCTTTAAAAGCATTTCTTGTAAGATAAGATCGAGCTTCCTTCCTTTTAAATAAGTTCAAGGAAAAGTCTTCGATACAAGTTACTTAAATTTAATTAAATTTCATTGAGTTATGGAGTTACAACACAAATTTTAGATTTAAATTTGTACTAAATGTTTTTCTGAGAATTTTCCTTCTTATAAAATACCTCTGCAACTCTAATGAATTAAAAAGAG